CCACTCCCCCATTGCTGACCAGAAATGAGCTATAACTGGGCTAATAACTCACTCACTAGCAAAGAATATGAACAAATGTGCACATTTGGCTACATGCAGCTCTCGCTTTGATCTCAAAACAAATGCATCTACTCATCGATCTGTAGAGTATAGACTAAGTCATGCCTGTCAATGCAATAGAATCCTAATCCGGTGTGTATTGCTTGCATAGTTAAGTTTTGCATACAAATTCTTGCATAGTTAGTTTTGTTTCGGTATGTTGCATTGAAAGTGGCTAATATTGGCAATTCCCACAGTAGAGGGAAACGTTGATAGCGTAAACTAAAGCGGAAAACTAGAAAGTTGAGTGAAGTTCAATCTCGTGTTTCTCTTCTTCTGTGTGGCAGTCCCGGGGAAGCTGCGAGCCTGCGGCACACGAGGAGTTTAGAGGGAACATTGCTAGCCACCTGTTCACTCACATGTTAGGGATACGGAGGGTCCGAAAATACATTACCAATACTGTCGTCGGATCTTATGTGGTCCTCTGTAGCTCAGCTGGTAGAGCACGGCGCTTGTAACGCCAAGGTAGTGGGTTCGATCCCCGGGACCACCCATACACAAAAAATGTATGCACGCATGACTGTAAGTCGCTTTGGATAAAAGCGTCTGCTAAATGGCATATTATTATATTATATATCTTAGCAGGGGCACAACTTTCATTGGGGACTGGGGGACAAATCCAACCCCCACATTCTGAAATTGTATTTTCGTCCCCCCCAGTTTTATCATTGGAATGTGATACATAATGAGGCAACAGACCATGCGGACACCTCCGAGCGGTCGGGTAGGCTGTTTGGAGTGTTTATCCGAGTGGAGAAAAAATGTAATGATGTCCCCCCTACTTCTAAAACCAAAGTTGCGCTCCTGGATCTGAGAATGCGCCAATGTTTGTGAAAGATTCCCTTAATTTGTTCAGAGCACTTTTAATAGCGCATAGTAAGAATGCAAGAATGCTTATTTTTGCGAGACTGTCCTTGAAAGTGATCATGTCTCGATTTGTTTTGGATATTCTCAATGGCAGCATTAATCTGACCATTTTGAACCCCCTCTCCTTGAATTTTCTTTGCATCTCAGCCATATTTCTGTCGATATCTGATTGTTTTTTGCAAATTATTTTGATTCGACAGATTTGGCTGTAGGGCAAACTGTTCTTGAAGGGAAGCAGGTGACAGCTATCAGCCCTCAACAAACTGTTATGTTCAGTAGGTTTCCTGTAAAGATCAGTGTATAGAACATTATCCTCACGCCAAATCAAAAGATCAAGGAAACTTATTTGACATGTGTAAGATTGCATAATAAATCTCAGGTGCTCAGAACAAGAGTTAAGAAAAGCATGGAACGCCTGGAGCTGGTTAACATCACCCTTCCATCGAACAAAAATATAATCAATGTTCCGTTTCCAAATAATTATTTTAGGCAATATTTTGGGGGGGAGAGGATTGAGAATTGACTGTTTCTCCATATAACCCACATAGAAATTAGCATAGTTATGAGCCATAGGGGATCCCATAGCAGTACCCTCCGTCTATATAAAGAAATCATTTAGAAACATGAAATAGTTGTGTGTGAGTATTATTTCAAAAGTAAGTAACAAAGTATTCTCAGGGAGAGGATCAAGAGATTCCATAATAGAGATCAGACTGCTGCTGTCCTTTACAAAGGAGGGGAGCTGTTCTGAGAGTGGTCTAATAAAATAGTCAACAAAAGTCGATAAAGGGGCCATTACTGCATCAACGATAAAGGGGCCGTTACTGCATCAACTATAAAGGGGCCGTTACCGCATCAATGATAAAGGGGCCATTACTGCATCAATGCCCGCTACAATTGGGCGCACCGGAGGTTTTGTAACATTCTTGTGTCATTTAGTCAAAGTAGAGAATGTGTCAATTTCGGGGTGTTGAATAGCCAAAAAGTGGTGTTCTTTTTTGGTGATTTGACAATAACTTAAATACCCATCTAGGACAGTAAAGATAGTGGGGTCACTTCTGAGTTTCTTGTAAAAAATGTTGTCAAGCAGTTGTATAAAGTTCTTGCCTAACATTATTATTTAGAAACGGTACATTGATGTTATTTTTGTTTTTTGGAGGGGTTTATTATGCAATCTGACACATGTCAAATCAGTTTCCTTGATCTTTTGATTTGGCGTGAGGATAATGTTCTATACACTGATCTTTACAGGAAACCTACTGAACATAACAGTTTGTTGAAGGCTGATAGCTGTCACTATGGTAATATTTTATGTATCATTAAGGAAAATGTTGGGAAATGTCAAAGATAAAATATAGTAAACCTGATTGACATTTTATAATACAGATGCATGTCTAAATAAGGAATATAGCCAAAACAGTGTGTAAACTGAATTTGCAAAAAACTATCAGATTTTGACAGAAATATGGCTGAGATGCAAAGAAAACTCAAGGAGAGGGAGTTCAAAATGGTCAGATTAATACTGCCATTGGGAATATCCAAAACAAATCGAGACATGATCTCTTTCAAGGACAGTCTTGCAAAAATAAGCATTCTTGTATTCTTACTATGCGCAATTCACAGTAATCTGAAAAAATTAAGGGAATCTTTCACAAACATTGGCGCATTCTAAAATGCAGGGGCGCAACTTTGGTTTTAGAAGTAGGGGGGGACATCATTAAATGTTTTATCCAGTCGGATAAACACTCCAAACAGCCTACCCGACCGCTCGGAGGTGTCCGCATGATCCGTTGCCTCGTTATGTATCACATTCCAATGCTAAAACTGGGGGGGACGAAAATGCAATTTCAGAATGTGGGGGGGACATGTCCCCCAGTCCCCAATGAAAGTTGCGCCCCTGCTAAGATCCGATGACAGTTTTGGTAATGTGTTTTCGGACCCTCCGTATCCCATGTGACTTCTACTAACATGTGAGTGAACAGGTGGCTAGCAATGTTCCCTCTAAACTCCTCGTGTGCCGCAGGCTCGCAGCTTCCCCGGGACTGCCACACAGAAGAAACGATCACCTGTGCAGAGAAACACGAGATTGAACTTCACTCAACTTTCTAGTTCTCCCCTTTAGTTTACACTATCAACGTTTCCCTCTACTGTGGGAATTGCCAATATTAGCCACTTTCAATGCAACATACCAAAACAAAACTAACTATGCAAGAATTTGTATGCAAAACTTAACTATGCAAGCAGAACACACCGAATTAGGATTCTATTGCATTGACAGGCATGACTTAGTCTATACTCTACAGATCGATGAGTAGATGCATTTGTTTTGAGATCAAAGCGAGAGCTGCATGTAGCCAAATGTGCACATTTGTTCATATCCTTTGCTAGTGAGTGAGTTATAGCTCATTTCTGGTCAGCAATGGGGGAGTGGTTGCTTCCTACAACAGCACAACATGTGTGCATTTCTAGCCATCTTTCTTCTTCTTCTATGATATAATGGCGGTCCACAAACCAATGTTAAAGGTGCATGCCGCCACCTACTGTGCTGTAGTGTGTGGTCAATCACGGTGTACAACATTTCTTTACCGTTTCATCGACCATACACTCCTCTAGCCATCTTTCAAAAACAGGTCAGGTAAAGAGCTTTTTTTCTGTCTTAAAGGGGCAGTGTTGTATTTTGAGACAGGCTTGAGTAAGCTAAGTAGGCAATAGGCAGAGGGTAGCATAATTTGTCTGATTCTCTTTAATAATGTCACCTCTTTGTCTGAAGGACAAGTGGATAAACAGGTTAATGTCAAGCCCTGCATATTTATTCCAACAGTCTCATGGAATGTAGGCCTACATTGAACACCACATATTGGCTGCTACTGTAGGCTGAATGATAGAGAAGCTATTTCCATGTTAAAATGTTATTGGATGCATTTTCTCCATTGTTTATGACGGTAGGCCAATCTGATAGGCCTACGTTATGATCAAACAGCCACAGTATTCTACTTGGCCACTGTTATAACTGTAACTTAAAGCGGGTACAGCCTCAGTGTTCAAAATAAACAGCAGAAGTTGCACAGAATTTTCACAACTTTCAAGTTTGTCCTCAGCAGACCTGAAATTTGTTCAGTGCCGTAAAAAATGAGAGGGAACATTGGTGGCCAGATGTAGTGAATAGTGATTAGTCTCCTTACCTCTCTTCTTCTCTACAACCAGACAGCGAGTTGAAACCTTTAGAGGAGAATAACAGCAGTTCAGGCAGTCTACAGGAAGTCTGCTGATAGTGACCTTGATTTGACCCCATCACGCTGCAAGATCTGCTATGAATCATTCAATCATCCAAAAGTAAAAAGCGGAGAGAAATGACTGTAGATCTGATCTGACAGATACACCTAGTGTTTGGTGTTGATGATGTCACAAACAGCCAACTGGTTGACCAGAGCCAATCAGAGCCTTCTATTCTGAATTTTCACAGAATTCTGACCATTGTTACACCATTCTCTACATGTGGATCCACTGAAAAGGTCTAGGTCCACTGAATAAGGTTTTGGCAATATCCTGATACAATGACTACATGTGGATCCATTGATCATCACCCCAGGAAATGACAAAATGAAGCGCAGGACCCAATTTACCAATACAATATCACCCCAAGCATGGGTAGTTGATTTTGGTTGTCTGACAGTGTTGATTTTGGTCCATTATCATACAAATGTATTCAGTCATTAATTGATAAATCAAGGCTGTATATGTAAAAAGAAAACTATTATTTTTATTTTAGAGACTCTTCAAAATGAACAGCATAAACATGTATAGTATTGCGAAGTGAACACCACAGCTGTGGTACATTGTAAGACAGGAGGAGATAATGATTGTTAGTATTATTATCATTGTTTAAATTGTTCTTTAAAGGTAGACATAAAGACAGAATATAATCAACAGTAACAAAATATAATTCACTGGTTATATTAACACATATACATTAATCAAGCTTACATTGTTTATAGCCTAGAAATAAAGATTGTTTAGAACAGCTCTCTCAGCCATCACTGTTCTAACAGTCTCATTCTTACTTCCTGGCTTCTTGGCCCGTCTTCTCCCTGTTTGGGCTGTTGGGGGGTTGCAGGGGCTGAAGAACTGGGAGGTTCAGGGAACAAAGAGCTGATTATACGAGAATGTAGATCAGCTATCTTGACAAAATCAAGGTTGTCAAGGGTGATCACTCTATCTTCCACCTCAGGACGGGTGGTGCTGCTCCTACTATCTTCCACCTCAGGACGGGTGGTGCTGCTCCTACTATCTTCCACCTCAGGACGGGTGGTGCTGCTCCTACTATCTCCCACCTCAGGACGGGTGGAGCTGCTGCTTGCCCCGCCTCCTCCCTGTGTGGTGGTGTCTGAAGGGGCTGCAGTCGAAGAGGGCTGTAGTAGTTCCCTGATTTTAAGAACTACACACTCCTTAGCTGTTGTCTTGAAGTCGTTTTCAATGAGAATTTCTGTCTGTTCCCAAATATTCTCCTCAAACAGTGCCCTGTGATAAGGTGTGATTTTACAGTCCATCCTGCAACAGTTACTGCCCTTACTGCACTTATACTTTGAACATATACTGCGGATAACTCTACAAAATCCTGCAGTCAGAATAGAACAGATTTCCGTCCAAGGTATTGCAGTCAGAATAGAAGTCGCAAAAAGCAGGAACAGAACCAGTACCAAGCCATAAACCTGAAACAAAATGTGTTTTCATGTTAAAGGTAATCTAATATTTATACAAAATAATACTCTGGTGTCCACCCCCCCAATACTCTGGTATCCCATCAATACTCTGGTCTCCCCTCAATATTCTGGTCTCCCCCTCAATACTCTGGTCTCCCCCTTAATACTCTGGTCTCCCCCTTAATACTCTGGTCTCCCCCTCAATACTCTGGTCTTGTCATGATTTAACTGGATTTGAACCCAAATGCAGACAACTACACCGAGCCAGAGAAGGTTAACAGGTTTATTTACAAAGTTCAATTTGTCCAGGTTTCCAATAATAGGGGAAGAGCAAGTCCAGGTTTACAGGGAGGGTAACAGATCCAGGTCAGGGCAGGTGTGGTACCGTAACGTCATAGTGTCCGTGGTGAGTCCAAAACGGAGGTCCGGTAGTGGAAAGCAGGATGGTGGTGGCAGGAGTGAAGCGGAGGCAGGAGTCAGGTTCCAATAATATGGTCGTCTTGACTATGATCTGACGATGAGTGGCAAGTTTGACCGGGTCTTTAAGGCTGAGGTGATTATGGTGAATGAGCTGCAGCTGGAACCCTGACTCCCGCACACCAGACTTCACTCCTGCAATCAAGAACAGACAGAGGGGAGGGGAGAGCAGAGAGAGAGCTACCTAGCAGCGGTAGGCCTAACAGGTCTCCCTCTCAATACTCTGGTCTCCCCCTCAATACTCTGGTCTCCCCTCAATACTCTGCCCCCCCTCAATACTCTTGTCTCCCCCTCAATACTCTGCCCCCCCCCTCAATAGTCTGGTCTCCCCCACAATACTCTGGTCTCCCCCTCAATACTCTGGTATCCCCCTCAATTGTCTGGTCTCCCCCACAATACTCTGGTCTCCCCCTCAATACTCTGGTCCACCCCCCCCCCCCCTCAATACTCTGCCCCCCCCCCCCCCTCAATACTATGGTCTACCTCTCAATACTCTGGTCCCCCCCTCAATACTCTAGTCTCCCCCTCAATACTCTGCCCCCCTCAATACTCTGGTATCCCCCTTTAATACTATGCCCCCCCCCCCCCTCAATACTCTGGTCACCCCTCTCAATACTCTGGTCACCCCTCTCAATACTCTGGTCTCCCCCTCAATACTCTGCCCCCCACCTCAATACTCTGGTCTCCCCCTCAATACTCTGGTCTCCCCTCAATACTCTCCCCTCAATACTCTGGTCTCCCCCTCAATACTCTAGTCTCCCCCTCAATATTCTGGTGTCCCCCTCAATACTCTGGTCTCCCCCTCAATACTCTGGTCTCCCTCTCAGTACTCTGGTCTCCCCCTCCATACTATGCCCCCCCCCCCCCCTCCCCCCTCAATACTCTGGTCTCCCTCTCAATACTCTGGTCCAACTCCCCCCCCCCTCAATACTCTGGTCTCCCCTCAATACTCTCCCCTCAATACTCTGGTCTCCCCCTCAATACTCTAGTCTCCCCTCAATACTCTGGTCTCCCCCTCAATACTCTGGTCTCCCCCTCAATACTCTGGTCTCCCCCTCAATACTCTGGGATGCGTTCAATATGTTTTTATGTTCTGAAACATTCATTTGAAGGGAAACGGTACTGTATTGAACGACCAGTTGAAAAACAGGGAGGGGTTGGGTTGTGGGTTGGGGAACGCTGTCAGCATGGCCACTGCCCTTTAAATACGTCACTCATTGCTTCAAGCCACACCTCACCACACCCACAAAACGGGAGCAAACATACCTTAAAGTCTAGACTGATCTGTTCAAGAACGTACAAGAACGTTTTTGGGAAACGTGTCGTTCAGTACAAGCAACATAGCAAACATTCAAGCAAACTGAACGCACCCCTGGTCTCCACCCCCCGTCAATAGTCTGGTCTCCACCCCCCTCAATACTCTGGGGACTTTTAATAATCATTAACAAGTAAATAATGAAGGGTACTCACCACAGAATCCCCTTTGAAACGAGTTTCGAGTTGCTTATCTAATTCCTCTTGGTAGGTTGTGTTATCAGTGTTGTTCCTGCAGGGAAGCATTGCTCTTTGATAGCACACGTACCAGTCCCCATCAAGGAGTACAGACACAACCCACAGCAACCCTATAGCAGCCGCCTTAATGAGGATTGCCAACATTCTTCCCCACAAATTACATCTGCATCTGAATGTCATTCTCAAGATACGTTGAAACTGTCCATCCATCCAGAGAGTCAAGAGAAACAAGATCAGAGCTGGCAACACCATGTAGATGTGACAATGGTCATAAGTAACCTCTGGTTTAACACCATTTTTACATAAGCATTTCAAGTTTTCATCAAACACAACGTGGTAAATAAAAAGAGCAATGGTGGTCACGTAAAATCCGCCTGTTTTTCTCACTTGTGAGATCAGAACTTCAAATCCTGGCATTAAGCGCTCCATGTTTCACCTTAGTATAACCTGTCAGTATCAGAGATTCTACAGCGTCCCCTGACTACCGTCCTGTCTACTTTCCTCTCCCCAGATGAACAGACTGATGATGTTAGTTCCAGCATAAACATATTCAATACTATGGTCTCCACCCCCCTCACAGGGGAAACTCTCTACCCCGGCAATACAAAGAGCGAGTAGCTCCACCGAGCTACACTACTCTCACAATGTTTCATTTGATAACCAGTCACATCTAGTTCATGGGGAATATTATTACAATGTTTCAGTTGATAACCAGTCACATCTAGTTCATGGGGAATATTATTACAATGTTTCATTTGATAACCAGTCACATCTAGTTCATGGGGAATATTATTACAATGTTTCAGTTGATAACCAGTCACATCTAGTCTATTGATGATTGGTAACACTTTACTTGACACCCAGCATCATAATATGTTATGACATGGGCAAAGCCATGTCATAATATGTCATAACAGCTGGCAAATTATCATAACCTGTCATAATATGGTCATAACACTGTCTTGACCCATATATTTAGACCTGTTGTGACATATATTGCACTATTTTATGGCTGCTTATGACACCTACATAAGAGTGTCAAAACCCACATTTATTCAAATGTGTTTTTTCTGTGCCAAGAAGTTTCCTTTCGTTTGAAAGTTTGTTTCTTAAGTCCTTTGCTTTTGTTGTAATACATTTTTTACGGGCATGTTTTTTGTCATTATATTTTAAATAACTTGTAGAAAATACACTTTATGACACTGTCAAGAAGCATTATGACCATCCTAATCATTTAAGCCAGATATGCCTATCACGTACAGGCCCTTATGTCAGTCATCAGTCAAAAAGAGGGTGTCTTGCCCTGCTCCTGAAATCTGCTCCTGCATTCATCGCAGTAATCAGAAACAGAGCATAGGGGTCGGTGCGTATCTGACATCATAAACGTACTGTGTAAGGGAATGTTTGGTCTTGTGTGATAGGTTTTGTGGGTTTTGACACTCTTATGTAGGTGTCATGAGAAGCCATAAATTAACGTACGTCACAACAGGTCTAAATATATCGGTCATGCCAGTGTTATGACCATATTGTGACAGGTTATGAGAAGTTATGTCAAGCTGTTATGACAGGGTTATGACCGTGACATAACGCATTATGACTCTGGGTGTCAAGTAAAGTGTTACCTGATGATTTTCATTAAGGTCCATGTCTGTGGGTTATATTTTGGTATGATAAACATATATCAGAGGTAGCTAAATGTGGCTATCACTACATTATATGTTATGACCCCAGTGCGGTTACTTTTGTCAACAGGATTGAGGGTATTACACAATCTCCTCAAACTAAGGCAATTTGAAATGTTATTAACTTCCTAATACAAGACATATTAAGGTATGAAATAATTGGAATGGTAATGTCATCTCTATGGGGCCCACCTTGGGGGGTCAAAGGTCATACATGTTTTTGGTCAGTATTTGCATCCCTAGTTTCTATATTTTATTTTCAAACAAAATGGGTCTAACGGGTTGCATTCCAACATAACATTCTAACAAACCACCTGATGATGAGGGCAATAAGTTACAGCTGGTGAGGTATTAAAGCCTTAAGCTTGAAACACAATAGAGAGTCAATGCAGTGTCTTTACTTTACCTACAGTGGGGGGAAAAAGTATTTAGTCAGCCACCAATTGTGCAAGTTCTCCCACTTAAAAAGATGAGAGAGGCCTGTAATTTTCATCATAGGTACACGTCAACTATGACAGACAAATTGAGAAGAAAAAAATCCAGAAAATCACATTGTAGGATTTTTAATGAATTTATTTTCAAATTATGGTGGAAAATAAGTATTTGGTCACCTACAAACAAGCAAGATGTCTGGCTCTCACAGACCTGTAACTTCTTATTTAAGAGGCTCCTCTGTCCTCCACTCGTTACCTGTATTAATGGCACCTGTTTGAACTTGTTATCAGTATAAAAGACACCTGTCCACAACCTCAAACAGTCACACTCCAAACTCCACTATGGCCAAGACCAAAGAGCTGTCAAAGGACACCATAAACAAAATTGTAGACCTGCACCAGGCTGGGAAGACTGAATCTACAATAGGTAAGCAGCTTGGTTTGAAGAAATCAACTGTGGGAGCAATTATTAGGAAATGGAAGACATACAAGACCACTGATAATCTCCCTCGATCTGGGGCTCCACGCAAGGAAATGCTTTTGGCGGTTAATCTGATTCTGTTTTGTGGGTGCCACTGTGTGCTGTTTTCGATGGATGGGTCCTGGCCTCTCGGGGCCTTAGGGATACGGAGGGATGTGGGTGGGATGCTGATCACTGGGATGACAGCTCAACTTGTGATGGGGAGGGGCTTTAGCGGGGGAATTAGTGGAGAACAATTGAAGGGTTACTCCGTAGCAATGCAAATATCATGGTACAGCTATATGGACACACAATCATTACGCTATTTTTTATTGGTAAATTTACAAACATATATAATGATAAATAGACTTGAAACTTGTATCTCATTATGGTGTATGGTGAAATAAGTATAGCCAGTTATAATTGTAATGGCTTAGCTGATAATAACAAAAGAAGAACAATATTTACATGGCTCAAAGAGAATGAATATAATATCTATTGTATACAGGAAACTCATTCAACAATTCGAGATGAAGTAGCGTGGAAAAAATAATGGGGGGCGGGGGGGGGGGAATATACTTCTCCCATGGGCAAAGAAATTCAAAAGGGGTGATGATATTAATTAATAGTAATTTCGATCCGAATTTGCAAATTGTCCAAATAGATACGCAAGGTAGATGGATTATTTTAAATATGTTATTGGACCATAAACAGATATGGCTCATTAACCTTTACGGACCAAATAATGATGATCCACAATTCTTTGACAATATATATAATAAATTATCAAGCCTGCAAGCAACTCAATACAATATTATTATGGTGGGGGATTATAATACTGTTTTAAATAGCTCAATGGACCGTAAAGGAAATCACACCACAAACAATCACCCACATGCTCTTAAGGAAATTGTGAATGTCATGGATACATTAGAACTAGTAGATATATGGAGGCTTAAATATACTGATCTAGTGAGATATACATGGCGGAGACTGAATCAAGCTAGTTGTCTTGACTTCTTTCTTATCTCATTCTCGTTGGCACCAAAAGTAAAAAAAAAGTGTTGATAGGGGACAGAATGCGGTCAGACCATCATAGAATAGGCATATACATTACTCTTACTGAATTTCCACGTGGGCGAGGATATTGGAAATTTTATCAAAGCCTATTGGATAATAATTTATTCATAATTAGAACAAAGGAATTTATAACTGACTTTTTCCAACATAACATAGGTACAGCGAAACCCCTTATTGTATGGGACACCTTTAAGTGTGCCTTTAGAGGCCATGCAATTCAGTACTCATCTCGAAAACAAAAGCAATTTAGGTCAAAAGAGTTTATACTAAGAAAGGAAATAGAAAATCTAACAGAACAGATAGATGGCAATAAAAACTGTAACATAGAGGCTCAGAATAAATTAGAGGAAAAACTAAAAGAAATGGAGAAACTTATTCAAGAAAGATCAAGTGTAATATATTATAAAAATAAAGCAAACTGGATGGAATATGGGGAAAAATGCACAAAATTCTTTTTTAATCTTCAACATAGGAATGCTACCAAAAATAACTTCATGAAACTGGTTACAATTGATGGAGTCACCCATAATTCACCAAATTATATTTTGAAGGAAGAAACAAAGTACTTTAAGCATATGTTTTCTTTTCAGTCGCCTCCATCTCCTCTAACTGAAGCTAATTGTAGATTTTTTTTCTTCTATTGATAATGTCAAATTAACAGCCACACAGAAAGACTCATGTGAAGGTGAAATTACAGAGGAGGAACTTCTGGATGCAATTAAATACTTTAAGTCCGGGAAAACTCCAGGGTTGGATGGCATACCAGTTGAGGTATACCAAACCTTTTTTGATATACTAAGCGACCCGTTATTAGCATGTTTTAACCACTCCTATGTAAATGGTAGATTATCTGACACTCAAGAAGAAGGTCTGATCTCATTATTACTGAAACAGGATACAAGTGGAAAATATAAAGATCCAGTCCATTTACAAAATTGGAGGCCCCTTACACTTCAGTGTTGTGATGCAAAAATCCTAGCAAAATGTATAGCGCTTAGAATTAAAAAGGTATTGTCGGATATTATTCATTCTAATCAGACAGGTTTTTTACATGGAAGATACATTGGAGATAATATAAGGCAAGTATTGGAAACAATAGAACACTATGGAAAATATGGGAAACCAGGCCTGCTATTCATAGCAGACTTCGAAAAGGCATTTAATAAAGTTCGACTGGGGTTTATATATAAATGCCTGGAGCATTTCAATTTTGGAGAATCTCTTATAAAATGGGTCAAAATCATGTATAGTAACCCTAGGTGTAAAATAGTAAATAATGGCTATTTCTCAGAAAGTTTTAAACGGTCAAGAGGAGTGAAACAAGGATGTCCACTATCGGCATATCTATTTATTGTGGCCATCGAGATGTTAGCTATTACATTTTAATAGAAAGTTAGCAAAAATAGATAAGATCTTACTATCATGGAAAGGAAAATACCTGTCAATGTGTGGAAAAATCACCCTGATTAACTCTTTAGTATTATCCCAGTTTACCTATTTGCTTATGGTCTTGTCTACGCCTAGCGACCAGTTTTTTAATTTATATGAGAAAAAAATATTCAATTTTATTTTGAACTGCAAGCCAGACAAAATTAAAAGAGCATATTTATATAATGAATATGAATTCGGAGGACAGAAATTATTAAATATTAAAGCATTAGACCTATCACTAAAAGCTTCAGTCATACAAAAGTTATACTTAAATCCGAACTGGTTCTCAAGCAAATTAGTAAGATTGTCTCACCCAATGTTCAAGAAAGGCCTTTTTCCCTT